ACCTTGAGTCCCTGGTGGCAGGCCGTCATGGTTTTAAGTTTCTGATTTGACTGATTACTATACTATCAAAAAGCGGCTTCAATAAAGTGTTTTCCAGGACCGGCAGCTCGTCGTGCAAATCGACGCAGTGCTCTGCAAAAGTCACAGGTGGCAGCGTCGGCTACAAGCTTGGACCAGCTGAAGAGCGACACAAGCACGCTCAGGTACGAAGCACGAAGGGCCACAGTATTCCTACAGTAGAGCCATTTGATCAAGAGCCGCTGTCTTAATTGGCGAACTGCATCCGATAGTTCTTTGCCCTTCCAATTTTATTGGAAGTACACTGCGCGATACTCATCTTGCACTGCTTACCGAAAATGACTCAATCTTCTAGATAAATTACTACCGAAACTGATTTCTACCATGTTCACGTATGCCCATTAAGTAGAACCGTCTGAATATTCCCAAAAATGAGCAAACACTACCGAAATTAAAGAATGGAGCTTTGACTTGCTAGTACATTGATGATTTTCTTCTCTCGTTTTTGTAAAAATACCTAAGTCAGGGTAATACGTAGGTGTTTAGGCCTGAGAAGCGTTCCATGAGTGTACGAGATCTGAATGGTGAGGAGTTCGACTTCTCCAACAAGGATTCCGTCACCAGGTATTGTTTTTTCGCTTTTTTTTGTTTTTTTTTTAGATGACAAATCGTGAGGAGGGTTTTTGTTGAACTCAGAATGGCTAATAAAGACCGTTGGAAAGACATGCTGTAAAGTAAGATTTTTGGTTTATAAGTTCTGCTCCGAGCTATTCTTAGGTCGTGTCTCTCAGAGTGACCAAAAGTTCGGTGCTGTGCGGTTACCGACCGGAATGAGCTAATGAGGAGGGTTGGAAATAATCTAAGACAGTAGTTATCACCCGAGTCTTGTGCCCTACTCATGCCACACCTACTTCGTGGTCCTTCTCATCTTGGTCTACCCATAGTGACAATTTTCATAGTAGAAGAATTCACGTAAAATTTGAGCTTCATCCCCTGCAGCATTTACTGGAAGAGGAAGCGCATTGGAGTATGCCTTTGTTTTTAAGCTGCTAAGCATGGGAAAATTCGTGAATAGAACTCGAGGGCAGAAGCGTGGTAGGGTGGCAATTGTTAGCGTAGAAAAAAAAAACAATTGACCATGCAAGCGTTCTTTTTTGCAGATGGACGTCGCAAATTCTTGCCGAGTTGGATTCGTTGCCATCAAGTTGCATCAATTTGACGGAGTCTGACAAGATCGATAGCCGTCCAATGTTTGTACGGAAAGCCGATCAGAACGGTATGAATGGCATGCATGTGAACGAAAGCCGAAAGTTTTCTACGGTAAGCTCTCACGTTTTTTTATTCTTCGATGACTAGCAATACTATGTTTGTTGAGCAAAAACTTCAGTAATAGAACGAATCTGCTTTTGACTTTCATCTCACCTTACTGTCTCCTCCTTTTACCGGTAAAATACAGCAAAACCAAGGTGGAAGAGTGATGACAGTAATGTTACTTGCCTATTGTCTAAACTTCCTTCCCTAGGAAAACCTCTTGAGTTCGCTGGCGACCACCCTGTACAGG